CACCATGTGACCAGTAATTTTTATCACTTGGTCAAAGGCTGAGTATAGAGTTTTGTCATGAGACTACTGTAGTGGGAAATCTTCCATGGAGTGAATCAGTGCCGTCTCCTCCCCAGAGTCAACGTTGGATGGCCTCGGATCACCGCTGTACACAGCATATACACTACATGCTGCTACAGGTCATGAATGCATCCCCGCACACTGCCCCAACAGGTTTTTAAATCATGGCCAATCCGTCCCCAGAATTAAAGGATGTGTCAGGCATGACCTAACCACAGCTTTCCCACTACGCTTTTTGTCCTTGTACTTAACTTCTGGCAGCACAGTAGGATATGGTAAAATGGTAAAATGGCCTGCATTTGTATAGCGCTTTTCTAGTCCCTAAGGACCCCAAAGCGCTTTACACTACATCCAGTCATCCACCCATTCACACACTGGCGATGGCAGCTACATTGTAGCACTGACAGAGGCGAGGCTGCCGGACACTGGCGCCACCGGGCCCTCTGACCACCACCAGTAGGCAAACATGGGGTTAGTATCTTGCCCAAGGATATTTGGCATGCAGCCAGGAGGCAGCCTGGGATCGAACCACCGACCTTCTGATTAGTGGCTGACCTGCTCTGCCACCTGAGCTACAGCCACCCCACGTATTTGTGTATATTCCCCATGCATGTACTTAACCTCCACCCACTCTACCTTCAGCAATGCCCCGGGCCAAACCAGAGTTTGGTGGACCAAGGTCTGTGTGCACCCTGAGTCTACAATAGCCTGGTGTATACCCCTTACCACCTTACCACTATGTGTCCCTCGTGGACTGAGGGAAGGTGTCAGAGGGCAAAGTGATGGCAAAGGACCACTCCGCCGTTCCTATCGGGAGTCCCTTGACAAACTGCTCGAGAATCATCACACAAAGCTGAGCCTCCACCTTTGTGTGGCCGGGCTTTGTGCGGCCCTATTCAGTACCCCAAGAAGTTTTGGTGGCAGTCCTCAGGCACATGGCCTAGGCCAGGGGTCGGCAACCTTTCTGATGATGAGTGCATCTAAAATAAATTGCAGTAGCAATTTATTGACTTCTGCAATAAATAAATAGCAATAAATTTAATAACGCTCTATATTAACAGTTACACACTATATAGAACCACTTTATAGAATTATATTTGTTGGCAGATGTTGGCAGCTATCAGCGAATAGTTATCAGCTATTTTGAAACAAAAAAAAAGACTTTTTATCCATAACAGCAAATACAGAAAATGCAAATGCTATTTATGGTGTCACGGTCCGGGGCAGCGGCCGTGTGAAGAGTGGAAAGGAGGACTCAGATGCAGCACTTACTCAGATGTGAAGGTGATTTATTGACAATACTGAACATAAAGTGGAGATGGCAAAACAGAACTAAGGACGAACTAAACTGGGAGAAACTACACAAAGGGAGTGGCAAACCTGAACATGAAGGGAGAACAGCAGGGAGAGCACGCAGAGGATTTCACAGGGTAGATGCAGAGTACGCAGGGTAACACAGAGGATGAACACAGACGACGCGACGAGGAGCAGAGGAAAACACACACTATAAGTACACAGAGAGACACTGGGAAATCACACACAGGTGGGAGACACAGCTGGACCTGGTTAACCTGACGAGACAGGGGAACACTGACACCAGGGACCAATAGAGGGAGCACAAACCCAAAACCCAGTATCTAAAATCCCAAAACACAAACCATCCCAAAACAGCCCGTGAATAATAATGAAAGTAATAACAATAAAGAACACAAACACAAAGTCACTCAGTCATGGTCGCAGGACCATGACATATGGTCTCCTCACAACAATGATAAGTAAAATAAACTGGGCCAACATGGCATGTTTGTTAATACAGAGACACACATGTTAATGTGATCTCTGGTCTCCCACTCAGAGACACAGGTCTCCGAGTGTCCAGCATTCAGAGGCTACCTGAGGACTCATGTGAGAGAAAACCTGCTCATACAGACATGTGGAGCCAAACTCTGTCAATAAGGCCTCTGCAATGTTCTGAAGACAGTTAAACTTGTCAGGCAGTGATGTCCAGCAGGTGAACATGCAGCTCCATGAACACGCACAGCTGTGGATTCCAGCTGCATTCATAGTTCTGCAAACTTTGACCCCACAGAGTCGAGCTTTTCAGTTCAATCAGCTGCATTTCGATGTCCTCTTTGTCGAGCCAGTTAATGCGAGACAAACCCAGCTGCTCATTAAAGCTTCCTGGTTTGATCAGAAAAGAAAACATTGGTCCAAACACCTGAAAGTCCCGAAAACACATCGTGAATTCTGTCTCGAGTCTACGGATGTATCCGTGTGTTTCCGCGGTGCTGCGCTAAGCGGACAGCTGCTGAATCTTTTGAAGTGTCTGAATGTGGAAATTTCAACATTGCTTGAAAAAACTGCCAGCTAGCAACGTCCCTCTCACCGGTAGGCTAAGTTATTTTTAGCCAATTACAAGTTGAATCTGGTAGTTGGGGTTGTTAGCTAAGATACCGTCATTAAGAAGCAGCACAACTAATGTGTGTATGCGAGCTAATTTGCGATGTGCACCGCTGGCCTTGCCATTTATTTTTTAATGCACCTTCTCAGATTAACTCACTGCGTGTCATGCCCAGGGCTGTGCTGGGACAAAAAAATCAGCCTGGGCATTTTGACTAGAGACCGGCCCCCCAGGTATTAAAGCCATAAAGCCTTTGAATGAAAACAAACGCTGTTGTGACAGTGATGTACAGTCTTGTTGGTATATGTATGATTTCTATACATTTTACATCTGATAAAAACTTTGGTTGTAAGATTCAGATAATTATTTAATAAAAGCTAGACATTTTAAGTGAGAATAAGAAAGAAAAGTATTTCTTTGTGCCCCCCGTCTCCCTGTTAATGTCCTACCTGCCCCCCTGGCAATACTTTGCTAGACCCGCCCCTGCACCGTTACCAGCTGTCAGCTACTTAGAAAAGGATCCTGGTGTTATTTGTCTCTCAGAAACAGTTCATAACTTCAATTCATTCATGTCACCTAAAAGGTAAACCTGTTTCTCCATCACCTGTTCAGCTCTGATGGTTCAGTAAGGACATCTCCTGGTTTCATCTTCATGTTTCCCTCTCACCACAAATCCAAACCCACATCATGACCAGCAGCTTTACAGCTGTGGCTCCAGCAAACAGCCGATCAGCTGATCATTGATCAGTTTCATGATTGAAGTAGCAACAGGAGAGGGAGGGGCAGAGAATGACAAAAGAAGAGGCAGCTGTGCAGCAAAGACACAGAATAACTCCAGCTTTGTGTCTTTTTCTATTCTAGCTGAAGTACGGGACAAACTGTTCCTTTTCAGCTCAATACGAAACGTAATATTTTCTCTGAATGCGGGACGATTCCGTTTGTATGGGACGGTTGGCAACTCTAATAATTAACCTTATGAATAAAATAAAGTTCACCATCAGTAACATCATAGCACCCACCCAGCTGTATAGAAACTCCGTCATGCTAGCTAGCACGCAGTACGAGTTATTGTAACTGACGGTAAAAAGTCAGCACAACGAAAATAAACTCCACCTAAACTTGGTTTATATCTGACCCAGATAGACTGCAGGTCATAACTTCTTACCTGAAGTTCACCTGACACTCGGACCGGCGGCCGCCTCGGGTCTCTCCTCCTCCTGCCTCCCCTTCCCTCATCCACCTGCTGGCCTCAGTGGAAGCTCTGCCATAGCCATCACCAGAGTTATTTTTACACATCTGGCCAATCCACCACCTCTCATTGTTTATACCATTACAAAAAAAAATCATCGGCCCATAGAAACGAAAAATCACAGTCGGCCCAGATGGCCAGTCCAGCTATGGTCGTGCCATCAGTTAACCCTTCGCGTGCCAGCTATGGCATGCGTGCCCAGGGTTGCCAATCCCTGTTCTAGAGTTTTTAATTCTGCACCTGACCCCACTGCCATGTTAAGTCTTTTATTTGGTCTGCTGTTAGTGATGTCATGTTGCCTTAATGTCATATTATCTTCATACGAGGAGCAGGGTAACTTAATCTTATAATGTTACAACCACATTTGACTTGAACACATTTGACTCGAACTAGGGATGAAGTTGGTAATTAGTAATATTTTAGTTAATGTTACGTGTTAGCTGTTTCATTACAATCAGTTGAGAAAACTATATTTTGATGAAGAAGGCAACAGCATCAGCCTTGAGTGTATAGTTTTCATTGCCACACAACTACCAGCAGAAATATATGCCTACAAGAAGAAAATGATCACACAAATAGAATTATAGTGTTAGACTTTAAAATGATAAACTGATATACACACAAAGCACTGTGCATAGTGTACTGTAGATGTGTACTGTAGTGTTAATCTGCAGTTAGATCAGTTAAGGTCTTAGACTAAGGCTTGTTCATTGTCCATTGGGGTCACCTTTAAAAACACTAAGTACTCAATTACTGCATTTTTTAAGTGTGCAGAGTAGCTAAATGTGTTTTGCTGGTGTGGTTTCATGCAATCCATGCCAGTTTTACCGAGGACGATGATGATTTGAATTTTCATTGTTGTGAACAGATTCTAGCACCTTTTAAAGGAATGATGTTTTCTCCTGACTTCCTGCTAACTGTTATGCTATCTGTAAGCTCTGCTTGTTTCTAATAAGATGTTCTCACTGAAGACTGTGTGGGTGGGCTTTGTTGCACAAGCGACTGCTTCGAGTGAATTAGGTGGCAGATAAATGGATTACTCACATTGTGAGGATGCAGTGCAAGGACTAATATGCCTGATTTGCTTTGCTTTCTGTCTTCATTTAACCTAGTGAAATTACTAATGTGACAGCTGTGGACTGCCGTTACTAAACAAGCTGAACTGTAGCACTGCTGTGATGTTTACTTCATGCTTCTTTCACTACTTTGAACCTCAACTACTTTGTCTCCACATATAGGAGGTACACGCAGAGTCCCAACCAGGTGTGCACTTTTTTTTAGCTCTTTGATGTGCTGTGAGTAATTTCTCCTGGTAAATGGTTACAAAACTTATTAGAGCTTCATTAAAGCATAATAGCAGCTTTTGCATCATGGGATACTTGGTTATCCCGAGTGTGCTCAGATTACTAGAAACATAATAAAATGCTTATGGCATGATAAAACTGAGCATCAGTTGTGAGAATTCATTCAGAAGATGGATATCAGTTTTCATTTTGATCTGTAATTTCTTGTATAAGTGTCTTTGTTGTCACATACTGGAATAATGTGTCATATTACTAATATAATGAAATCTTAAAAATGGTGACATATGTATATATTTGCCCAAATATAGCTAATCTTGGCTTATGTTGTGCTTGCTTTCATTTCACTGGTCTTATATTCTTCTTAGATGTGACCCATCATGTCCCTTCACCACTACCAGATATGCTATCACTCATTCCACTGGCAGCAGCAGAAACCCATCCTGTATGTGAACTCGGTAGCCATGAACCAAAGAAAGGTATACTTCTGTGACAGGCTGTAAAATATTACATTGGTGCAGATGGATTACAATGATCATCCTTCAGCATGATGCTAAGAATACACTGATCAGCCACAATATTGAAACCTATAATATTGATGCTAGTCTATAACAATGTTACCATGTTTCAGTGGTTATGTGACTGGTACATGCTGTTTGTATCATACATCTGATGCCAGCTGTCAGTTTCCTTGCACTGGAAAAATGTAATGTACATTATATCAGTCTTAATGCATGCTCAGTCATCCAGGTAAATCTCCAAAAAGTTGATTCTGTTCATCTGGATGTTTTCACTGGGAGAAATGTTTCGTCATCATCCAGGTGACTTCTTCAGTCTCAGCTGACTGCAGGTTTCAATCTTATAAACAGGACATTTACATAATGACTGAAACCAGCCCACTGAAGGAACAAGGGGCTGGGAGGTCAGTTCCTTCATCTTAATTATGCAAATTCTCATGACCATTGATCAACAACCACTGATCAATGTCCATGAGTCCCATTCACAGAGAGGGACCCGATCCTTGCGGTGGATCAGTTTTTGCCGCAACATGTTTTGGGGTTTTACAGCCACAGAAACGCGATGTTTAGAGAAAATGCGTCTCAGCTGCTCCGATACTCCTGACACGTACGGGATCACTACATGTTTTCGCTTAGTCATTGGTTGTCCTTCTGTCCTGGATCGGCTGGAGGTTTCTTTAGGAGCCTTTCCAGCTCTGACAAAAGTCCAGCTGGGATAACCAGATTTACTCTTCTTGATGTGATCTTCTGCCTCCCTGGCTGCTGTGTCTGTGGGGATGGTGTTCGCTCTGTATTGTAGCGTCCTGATGACGCCCAGTTTATGCTCCAGTCGATGATGAGTGTCAAACCTCAGATACTGATCAGTATGTGTAGGTTTACTGTACACGTCAGCTTTTAGATGTCCCCAATTACTGATGGAAATCTCACAGTCTAAGAAGGCTAACCTGCCACTTTTCATATCCTCCCTGCTGAAGTTGATGTGTCGGTCCACCGAGTTAATGTGACCCGTGAAATGTGGAACGTCCTGAGATTTGATTTTCACCCAGGTGTCATCCACATATCTGAACCAATGACTTGGTGGTGTTCCAGGGTAGGATAGCAAAGCCCTCTTTTCCTCTTTTTCCATGTACAAATTGGCCACGATGGGTAAAAACAGGGGAGTCCATGGCACACCATGTTTCTGCCTGTAGAACTGACCCTTGTGGTGAAATATGTGGAAAGAAGACACAGTTCAAACACACTTGGTCGGTGCTGAGAGTGGTCCTGTTGCTGCAGTCAGCTGAGACTGAAGAAGTCACGTGGATGACTGATGAAACGTTTCTCCCACTGATTACACTGCGTCCAGATGAACAGAACCAACCTTCCGGGTACATTACACAACTTATCTATATAAAACTTTAGACACATAACACACTGATCAATAATTAGTCATTTGTTATCTTGTAATTAGCCAAACTAATGAAAAAAGGTCTGTTACAGTTGGGTAACGATGATGTGAATATTTGAGAGACGATGAGGTTGAAATGAGTTTAAGACTCAAAAGATGTGTTTTAAAGTGGACTTTTAGCTGCATCCTGTCCGAGTTCTCAGTATTTTATGTTACATTTGTTTACAAATTGAGAATTAGTTCAGGAATACATGTTGTAAAAAAAACATTTTAAAAGGCACAGTGTCTGAAAGTCAGAGCGAGAACCACTGAAAATCATCTAAAGTCTCAATACAGCAACACTGAGTTTGATTACCCTGACTCGTGTCTGCTCTCAGTCCTTTTGCACTGCAGGACAAATCCAAAAGACATAAGGATTGCAGATTCAGACTGGATGTGTATCCACTTTGGATCCAGCTTATTCTTTCCCAAAATGATCTGTATTCTTTATTTAAAATGAAAACTGTGCTGAAATATTTAAAATCAATGAAATCGTAGACTTTTTTGTTTGCCTTTCCTGATAAAACATGCTGTCCTGTATTTTTCAGTAAAATGTTGGGTAATTCGTGACCACAGAAAGCAGAAAAACTGGTTTTCAATGGTTTTCATTCTTTTGTCACACACATGCTTAACTGAGCGTGAGCTTACTCAGAGTTGAGACTCTTGGACTTGCTTACATAGTGTTACTCAACTTAGACTTCATGGTTAAACTGTTGTTGAATATGTTATTGAGTTTGTTGAAGATACTTCCTGGGGCTTCTTCCAGAGGCCAGGGACCTACCACAAAGCTCAGGCAACATACCAAGGGGATGCTTCCCTTATTCCATTTCCCAGATTATATCATTATTTTTCCACAGAAAATGATCCCTATGACTGCTACCTATTTTATGACGTGGTGATTAAAAGTCTATAAATCTGTTGTAAAAAGCACAGGCAATTAATGCTGACGCAAATCTTAATTTAGTATTTTAGTGATAGAGCATAAAATAAATATTGTAATTCCAGAAAATTATCAGTTTGTATTTCTAAGGTGATGGCTGTACTTTAGAGCACTGCAACTGTTTATTGTCCCACAACCTGATAAAGAAGGTTTGTGACTTTGTCACAGATCAAAGTGAAATTAACATGCGTGATTCCATAGGAATTCTTGGTGTGTGTCCTGTGTTCTAGTAGCTTCAGTTTCAACAGTGTAACATAGACTCAGCAGCAGATTAGAATCAATTACAGTATTTATACATTTTTGATATCACCAAGTTAATACATGCATGCACAGTTTGCATTTCAATGGTTGTAGTAAGATAGACTGAAGCAGCACGTATCAAATGCATTCCCCCAGCAAAAAATGTATATTGTACGTAAAAGCTTTTGTTACTGTAATTGTTTCCTGACCATTTTTGATGCCTTAGTTGTAGGGATACAATTGAAGAGTGAAACCAAATCAAAGGACAATATGATTTTATCTGATTCAGTGTACGTTTGTGGACAGCATTAGGGAACACACACATAAAGAAAAGTGTTATCACATGTGGTTATTCCAACTGGGTCTTCAAGACGCACAAGAAAGAAGGTCAGAAACCAACTGGGGAGAAACAGAATGACAAATGGAACGACACTGTCATCCCTTATGTAGCAGGTCTGTCAGAGAAACTCCAAGCACAACATCCCAATGCACTTCCAACACGGGCACACCCTTAGATGGAAACTAAGTCTGTCGAGGTCTGTGGAATTACAGACTGAGTGTGATGTGTAGGACCCAAATCCAAACGCTCGGAGACAGAATCATCTTAATAAAGGCAAACCATGATGATGACCCACGAACAAAAGACTAAGCATAAAATACAAAAAGAAACCAAAGTATATCAATAGAACTTAGGAACATAATCCATTTCTCAAAACCCAACTCTAAACACAGAAAGAGCCCGACCAGAAAGACCAGAACCATGACAGGTAATCCCAAGGACCAAACTCACAAACAAACAAGCTAAGCAGCATAGTGTATGCTGTGGGGTGCAGGGAGAAGTGCTTAAAACTTCTGCATTGGAGAAACTAAACAGCCAGTTCATAAACAAATTGCACAACATAGAAGAGCCACCTCAACAGGACAAGAGATAGCTGTACTGTAAGGATACAGGTCACTCATTTGAGGATGCCAATGTTTACACTTTGGATGAAGAAGACAGATGATTTGAAAGAGAAGTAATATAGACCATGCAGTCCTCAGATCCCTTCCCAGGTGCCTCAACCCATCAGTTGACCTTAATATGTCACATGTCTCACAGTGGTTTCCCGTGAAACCCCTGGTGTTAATAACTCATGCCTTTTTTCATACCTTGGCTCTTGTGATGACGCACATGATTGATAGTGGGTCAGTGACCCTCTTCAGGATCAACCCCCACTAGTGTTTAGAAGTAAACAAGTCTTTTGGATGAGAGGTGAAAATCACAAAATTTCACAAAAGTCCACTGGCTTTGTTTCTAAGCTCCTTAGCCTACTGTGGCCTTAATGACTGAGAACCTACACAGACATATTGGCCTGTAGTGTTGTTCACCACATTCCCACTGAGCTCTTGATGATGGCTCTTAGGCACTTGTTCATCTTGTACAGTTCTAAGCATCCCAGGCATTGAGTCACAGGTTTTCTTGTAGTCGATGGAGATGTTGCACAGGTTGTTCAGTCTGATCTTGCAATCTCGAGTACCTGCTCTGTCTACTAGCAGCTGGTGTTTTTCTCCTGCTGGTTTCTGCTAGTTCCTTTCAGGGCTCATGTATTAAGCCATGTGCCTGTTCATCTTAGCCACTATGACGACTGCAGGAGCTTTCATGAGGTGCTGAGGGAGTTTTTCTGTCATTAAATACAAAGAAAACTTCCAAATCTAGCATTAGAAGAAAATTCAGCAATAGAAACTTTATTTGAACAATATTTATTGTCCAGTACATGTCCTAAGAGTTCACTTATGTCTTTCATTCCAGCTACATTTGCGATGAAGATCAGTGTGGAAAATGATAAGAAAACAGGCAAAAGTCATGTGGTGTCAGCTTCAACCATCATCCCAGAAACCATCCAAAAGAATGGGATAAAGGTGTATGATGATGGACGTAAGTCTGTGTATGCACTGCACCCAGGGACAACTAAAATCCATAGTGAAACAGTTGGAGAGATGACCCCTACCGAGGTAGAAGAGCTTCTGCATCAGGCCGCTGATAGGAATGTACCTACTGAGGTGCAGTACCATCTACCTGTCTATTCTGTGCCCTATATAGGGACGAATAGGCCATCAACACCAAGGAAATCAACTAAATCACTAACAAAAAACTCAAAACCCAGCCCCTTACGGAGTGTAAACTCATTCAAAACTGGATCTCTAATCCTAAATGAGAAAAACCACTGCAGCCAAGGCCTGCAGAAACAAAAAACCCCAAACAAAACTCCTCTATCGATCTGTCAAGACTCGACTTTAAAAGTACGAAGAGTTGGAGAAGGGGCCAAACTGCACTCTCGAGAGCAGGCCAAGTGTGAGACCTTTCTAATACCACAGTCACACTTTAGCACCAAGTGTCCAAGAGCATTCGCCAACAGCACAACAGATACAAGCAGTCCAAACACAGCAGCTCTTGTTTCAGTTAAATTCAGGCCTGAAGGAATGCCTGGACCCAAAGAGCCAGTCTACAGAACATTAGATAGATCTAGTTCTTCACTCGTCCACCATAAATTTGATCCTGATCCCTTGCTAGGCACCTCAGGTGACTCTAACGAAGATTTACCCTCTTGTGCAGAAAATAATGTCTCTCTGAACCTTGTCAGCACTCTGCCGGGGGAGCTAGAACCCATATCAATGATCTTCATGGGCTACGAGAATGCTGAGGAGGAGGAAGACATTCAAGCTGAGTTGGTGATTATTGACAACAGTTCTGATAATAACGACAACGATGAGGATGAAAATGAAATCAACAGGGAAGAGTATCTTTTATACCACCCACAGGGGTACAGAAGCAAAGTATTTCAACCCAAGGTGCATATAGCTAAGGTCATAGAGCTCAGAGACATTACAGATACCTAAAGAGACCAGGAGGATTTAGGACTCCACAAGCCAACATTCATCCACAAGTATGGAAAGCACAGTCCTTATTTACAGGAGCGGTCAAAATGGAGAAGATGAAGCTCAATCAAACAGGAAAATGAGAAACTGAATTGTTAGGAAAAGAACTGGGAATAGAATTTGTTAGGTGATTTTTCTTCCCCATCATTTCTTTGATTCTTTCTTTGTCTTTTTTTCTGGTGAATGTGTTCATGCATGCATTTTCTGCTGCCAAGCCAATGTAGTACTTCTCAGCCTGCCAATCTTTAATAATAATAAATTGTGATTCGTGCCATTATGAAACCTTAACTTCTCTTGAGTGATAGAAACACCTGATAGACTTTTTGTTTATTAGTAACTGTGCCACTGGAATTTAAATTTTATCATTCAGTTAGTTTGTTGCTTTGTAACTGAGTTGCATTAAATGGTACTGTGCTGTGAATCAACCTGTGCTCATACCTTTGATCTAAGTTCATTTGTTTGGTCAAGTCTACGCCTTAAATTTCTGATGGCAGTTATCTACCAAATTTCCTTGTTTCTAGTGCACTTTAGGAGTTGGAATAGGAGAGTCTGGTATTGGCGGGGCATAAACATGTCAAAATATTAAAACCTTTGTTGTAAAAATATTAAATATATCATTTTATTATGATGTCCGTGCTCATAATTTAGTCAGCTTGAACTTTGATTAGATGATTTCTAATTTTACCTTTCATTTAAATGTTTTCTGAATATCAAAAATATCCTTCCTTTGGGACTGCACCTGCTCACTCCTTTTTTGTAAATAGCCTTTGTGTTGGACTTCATATACCATGTTTTCTGCACTATAAGGCGCACCTAAAATCCTTTAATTTTCTCAAAAATCGACAGTGCACCTTATAATTGGTGCGCCTCATGTATGAATTCTGGTTAGGCTTACTGACCTCAAACCGATTTTATGTGGTACACGGCGCTCAAAAATCTATCAAAAAATGTTGTAGTATGACTTTGCTAAGCTACAAAGCCGCACCGCTTGATGGATTGTCTGAGCATTACGATTACCGTAGTCAGGAGCCTCGCGGAGTAATCTGGGTCCAAAACTCCGTCAGCTTCAGGTCCCAAAGTCAAGCGAATACTGTGGCGCCAATGAGAGTTACAAACTGTCTAAATTCTTTCACCTTTAATAAAATGATCAGCGTTGCTGCTTTAGTTTAGTTAGCAGGAAGTTAGCTCGCTAGTTTCCACCTAAGCATGATATAGCATGTTCTGACTGAGATATTTCTGAAACATTCAAACGTACAGCTCTGCTATCACTTCCAACATAAATGAAGACAGAAAACTAAACAGCAGTGACGTTTGTAGGGTTACTGAAGTTGGGCTAGCTTGTATATCATGTGCTATGTGATCGCTAGCGACACAGCTATGTTAGCATAAACACAGTGAAGCTGGAGGATGAACGCTAACTTTTTTCCTCTCGATAAAAGTTAACGTGAAGGTTCCTGATGGTTACAGACAAATGCAATCGCATGGCAGGATGCTGTAAACGGACCAAACTTCAGTCAGGAGAACAACTGAGATAATCCATCCACAATACGAGGTTAGTCAAGCATGATAATCCATCCACTACGGACATTAAATACAACAACTGGGAACTAGAGCAGCTGCAGAGAATTCAACATTAATGAATCAATGTGTACAGAAGTGGAGGAAGCAAGAAGAATGAGTTGAATAAAGTTTGACTTATCTGACTGTTTTGTTTTGCTTAATGCGCCTTATAAACCGGTGCGCCTTATGGTCCGAAAAATACAATAAATTAATATAGTATAAGGGATATATAATATATATACATAAATAAATATATATATAACATATATATATATATATATATATATATATATATATATATATATATCAGGGACTTGGGTAGCTGTACTTTTCTGCAACATTAACATTCTGTGCTGTAGAGCAGGTCACCTACTGACCGGAAGGTTGCTGGTTCAATCCCTAGCTCCTCCAGTCTGCATGTCAAGTGTCCTTGGGCAAGATACTAACCCCACGTTGCTCTCCGATGAATCCATGCGTGTGTGTGAATGTAGTTAGAAAAGCACCCAGTTTACAGACAGTGCTTGTGAGAATGGGTGTGATTGGGTGAATGTGGCATGTTGTATGTATTTGAGTACAGAGAGTAGAAAAGTGCTATATAGCAATCAGTCCATTTACCATTCTGTCCCAGCACAAACCATTTGCCTCTTCCTTCTAAAGTTGATCATTAGCCCTCTGTTCTTGTTCACATTCAGATGCAGATGATTTCTCTAAGCACTGCTCCTGCCTGTCAATAGCACATGCAGCCACTGCAGAATGAGCACAGACTGAGCTGTACTGACAGTCTGAGGTGAAATGGAATGGAGACAAAGCAGTACCCTGTGGAGCTCTGAATTTCACATCACCAAATCACACACACAGTTTTATGGTACTACACTGACACAGCTCCTCCTCAGATACTGTGCCTGTCTGTCAGGCGCTCAGTGATCCATGAAATGGTGGATGAATTTAGTGAGATGTCCTGTAGCTTCTTCTCTCTCAGTATCAGTGGCTGAATGGTGTTTAAAAAAATCAAAGAAGACGAGCCCCCCCAAAGACTAACCTCTTTGCTGCATGCAGTCCCAGATTTGGTTTGTATGCTAACTGCAGAAACTCTATAGATGTTTTCACCTGTGGTTTTAGCTGGGTCAAGAAATACACTGTGAGGGCAACTGGTGAATACTCATTAACTTCAGATGTTCCATTCTCTGTTAAGATGATCATGTACTGCTCCACTAATGTTGAGGTCGAATCTCTGAGCTGACAGAAAGTGCTAGGTACGGTTTTACTGCACTAGCAGTTTGGCGTCATTGTCAAACTGAAAAATTCAGCCGTAGCACGATGGAAAGCAAATCTTACTGTATTTTTCTGTGTTTATACTTCCCCAATAACCACTGGCTCAAATGCAGCCCCAAACCATGACACAGCCTTTTTAACTGTCTCCTGACCTCCAACATACACATCCACAATTAACTGAATCAAGATGTCAAATTTGGGTTCATCACTCCATAAAACTTGTTACCACTGACTTTCGTGAGGGTAATGCTCCAGTCTTCATCAAAAGTAACAGGGTGGAGTGTGTACCATGGTTTAGATTCCACGGGATCTCCTAAGATCTATCAAGGAAAGCTAACATCACAGCTCTGTTGGATAAGGTCACTTTTCCTAAGAAGGCTAAAAATGCTCCCCCTACAGGTGCTGCCGACCAGGGGTGTCCAAACTTTTTTCACTGAGGGCCACATACATAAAAATATAGGAGGGGCTGGGCCACTTACTAGAAATTAGGTATATAACCTTAACTTTAGTGTATTAAAGTTAGAAAAATCACTTAAAAGTGGTCAAATGTGTTATATTGTTGAATATAATTAAAGCTGCCTTTATCACAGCTTTCCATAAATGGATCTTTATTGATTTATTCAGAAAAAGCTTTGGTAGCTCATTCTCAGAACAGCCTCAGATTTCTTCTTAGACAGAAGATTTACAGCACAGAGAAAAACAATGAAGATGGGACGGGTACATTTCAAGCCTGTTATTTAAGTTATTAGGCTCAGCAACACACCTATTAACGTTCGTTTCAAACGGTTATCAACATTAACAGGCTGAACTGGACTTAATAACAGGAGTGCATAATTTTAGTAAATTATTCTGGTGAGTATCAGCTGTCCTGGGTATGTAAATCGGGCCATCCAGCTGTGGTGCTGATCGCCACTCGTGCCAAAAATCCAGACAAATGTCACTTGATCGAGGAGCAAATCTGCATCAGATGAGATCAGCTGACTACGTGTGCGTGCGCTGTGCGTATAAAGAAAGTGTTGCGCAAAACCAGGGTAGTGACAGAATCGATGTGCATTATTGATATTTGAAGCATGTGTACCTGCACGTGCATGCTTATTAACACATGGGTACCGTGGAATAGATTTTTAAAGTGCTCGTGCTCTCGTCCACTCCCCGCAAAAAAAAATAGCAGCTGTGCGGCGTCTGTGGCGTCGGTGCTCTCATCACATGCGATGGAGTAAAAATCAAAAGCGCAGCTTTATCAGACAGTTGCAGTTTAATGTTGGCTGACGAGTTTTCAATGCGTCGCACGACTGGATTTCTGGACATGCTGATGTTGTTGAAGTTCTGCACTTTTTCCGGGCACATTATTTCGGTGACTTTAACGAGGCCGTGTTTTATGAGGTCTCCATCTGAAAAAGGCTCGCCATGTCTTGTGATGAGTTGGGCGACCTCACAGCTGGCTATTGGAGCCTTTTCCTGGACCTTTTGAGCACAAAGAAATACTGTTGCTGACCCCGCAGGAGAGCTACCCTTTGCTTTAATTTCTGCTCTCGCTCAGCACCAGTGTTGGATGCACAGGCCTGATGTTTGGTTTCATAATGACGTCGTACATTATCCTCTTTCATAACTGCCACAGTTTCGGTGCAGATCAAACAGACACGCGTCCCCTTTAATCTTTGAAGAAATATTCATTCTCCCACCGTGTCTGAAATTTTCTGCACTCACTTTCTACCTTTCGCTTCTTTGGTTCTGCCATGTTTAGTAACTTGGGGTAAATTTCTTCTGTGATGTCCTTTTTGGTGGAGCAACTGCCTTGATCAACAGCAGCTCCCCCTGGTGTTAAAACTAAGAAGTGCAATACACTCAAGCAAAAGTTGAAGTGCGGCCATATTCTATTTAATTTATAAAATTACTTGCGGGCCAATTTAAAATGGCCCTGAACTACAGCTATACCACAGAGACCTTTTTCATATCCTAACATCTTCACAGCAGCAGATCAGGAAACAGCTGCTTGGGTTAAGAGACTGAACGATTTCTTGACAAAACTTCTTCGCCGTGCTGTAAAAGACTCACTGTCAGTTTTGTAAATGCTTGATTGCAATTTGCAGCAGATTGCTGCTAAGCCTGGCCCAACCAGTTATTAGGTTTACGGGGAATCACTTTTTCCCACAGGGCCACGTGGGTTTGGATTTTTTCCCCCTTAATCATAAATGCCTTCATTTAGAAAGTGCATTTTGTGTTTACTTCTGGTATCTTTGTCTAATATTTACATTTGTTTGATGATCTGAAGCATTTAAGTGTGAGCAAACACACAAAAAAAAATAGGAACTTAGGAAGGGGGCAAACACTTTTTCACACCACTGTCCATCCTGGTTGATTTGTCACAATGTTACTGGAGACCAAGGAGATGAGTAAGTATCTGGTTAGACACAAACACCAGGAAGCTTACTGCAGTCCTGTTATTGGGTATGGATGTCAGGATTGGTGTTGGTTATGAAAAGAATCTCTTAATGAAAATGTTGAAGCTTTTGGGATCTCAGAAACATGACAGTGTCTTAAATCAGTTTAACATAAACCAGTGGCCTTGGAAACACTTCCAGTTCTCTGAAAGTCTGTGGGTAAATCTAGGAAGAGCTAACACTTTCTTAAAGATATTATGGTCTCACGTGCTAGTTTCAAGTCATATTAAAACAATATGCAGTCAATTTGTAAATGATAGTCATTATAAGAGACAGTAGTAACTAATGTTAAAGTTCTAATGTTAAGCCACACAACAATAAAGTAACAGTTACCGTTTTTAATATGAAAGAAAAAGAATCTTTAGATGCTGTACAGAAGCACAAAAATGAGGCTTAAGCTCGTGCAAATTGATCTGGTAAGCCAAACTTTAATTAGTAAAGAATAATAAATAAGAACAAATAAGAAAAACTCTTGTTTCTTTTCAGCACTGTGGCCAGGTTGACAAAGAGTCAGTCTGTTGAGCAGAGGATTTGTTTAAACTTAAGAACTTCATGAATTTCTTCAGAAATAACATTTTAACCTTTAAAGAAAAAACAAACCCTTACCAACTCACATAACTTCTTATTATTAGGAATACCCAGAATAGAAAAGAATAGCCCCCCACTGTCATTGTACATGGACAAAGAAATGATGGGTGCTCCACACCAACTGTACAGGAATAAAATATAAACAGTCAGACATGAGGAATAGATAAAAACAAGGTAAAGGAACACTTTGGAGAACAAAGTGCTTGGAAGCAGTGCAAAAGGACTTGGTCTGAGTATTGAGTCCATATGTGAGTGGCCTCAGTGGACGGCATTTACTCAGACCATGGCTCAGATTGGTGAGGTGAGTGGGCAGGGGTGGGGTGTGGGGGATAGGGATTTTTTTGTCTGAATGACCCAGGGGAAGAAGCTTTTAGTAAGTCTGGAGATGTGGGACCTGATTGACCTGAGGTGCTGACTGGAGGGGAGCGGGTCAAACAGGTGTTGAGCAGGGTGTGAGGGCTCACCTGTGCTGGCTTTACTTTTCCTGAGACAGGAGGATCTGGTGATGGCCTGTCAGAAGGCAGACAATGATTTTTTTGGTGTTACTGACCCACTATGCAGCCTTCCTGCTCTCAGTCGTGGCCCCTGAGTACCAAACACCAGGCAGGAGGCCCGAGGAGCGGTAGAAGGCCAGCTGGTCCAGGTTATTCATCCTCAGGACAGAGAGTAAGTGCAGACGCTACTGGGCCTTCTTTACCCCGGCGATGGTGTTGTGGGTCCAGGTGAGTGGGTCCCCATAAACTTGAAGGTGCAGACAGATTGGTTCTGATCTGTCTGAGCCTCCTGAAGTCCATTATGAGTTCTTTGGTTTTAAGGATGTTCAGCTTGAGGTTACTTTCTGAGTACCAGCCGGACAATTCTCTACCTCTGCCCTGGTAAATGCTGCACTATGTCTGGTATTATGGTGTTGAACGCTGTGCCATAGTCCACGAAGAGCATCTTCACGTGGCTCTTCCTGTTGTTCAGATGGTTCAGCTCTCTGTGAACGCTGATGGTGATCCTCTGTGAGCACACTGGTGAGGGTGGAGGGAGGGGGTTAGTCTCTGCTGAGACACTATCTGCTCGAAGCACAGCATGACTACAGACGTGAGGACTTTAGGTCTAAAGTCACTGTCAGTACATGCTGCTATCTTGGTTGTATAGCGTACAGCTACTTTCAGTACCATTGTTATTTATTTAGACTATTTCTCTCTAATGAATCTTTAGTTCGTCTTTTAACACCATCGTGCCTGAACTTCTCTCCTCCAAACTCTCCCGTGCCACCAGCTTCCTGACAGACAGGAAGCAGCAAGTGAGGCTGGGGGAGATCACCTCTGAAACTCGGTCCCTCATTGGTGCCCCTCAAGGATGTGTCCTCTCACCACTACTGTTCTCCCTCTACACCAGTGACTGTTTGCAGATGACACCACCATCATTGGCCTCATTCAGGATGGTGATGAGTCTGCATACCGGCAGGAAGTTGAGCGGCTGGTACTCTGGTGCAGTCAGCACAATCTGGAGCTGAACACTCTTAAAACTGTAGAGATGACAGTGGACTTCAGGAGACATCCCTCAACTCTGCTCCCCCTCACCATATCAGACAGCCCTGTGTCGACTGTGAAGACCTTCAAGTTCCTGGGTACAACCATCTCCCAGGACCTGAAGTGGGAGACCAACACTCCATCCTGAAAAAGACCCAGCAGAGGATGTACTTCCTGAGACAACTGGGGAAGTACAGTCTTCCACAGGAGCTGCTGATCCAGTTCTACACTGCGGTCATTGAGTCTGTCCTGTGCTCCTCCATCACAGTCTGGTATGGAGCAGCCACTAAACAGGACAGGAGCAGACTGCAGCGGACTGTACGGGCAGCAGAAAGGATCATCGGCGCCACCCTGCCCTCCATCCAGGATCTGTACCTCTCAAGAACCAGGAAACGGGCAGGGAAAATCATCGCAGACCCCTCACACCCTGCACACAGACTTTTTGATCTGCTGCCCTCTGGCAGACGGTACAGAAGCCTGCAGACCAGGACCACCCGACACAGGAACAGTTTCTTTCCCCTCGCCATCTCCCTTCTTAACAGTTGACCTGTCACACTGCTCCCACTGCCAGACTGCAGCTGCACCTTATGTACATTTTGTAGTATTCATTCCACCTCATTCATTTCTGTATTTTATGTATATAAGTTTAGATTCGTTATTTATAGTTGGTTTACACAGCTTTGTGTATGTATGTGTAATGTGTATATATAGACACGTGTGTGTGTGTGTTGTGTGTGTGTGTGTGTGGGGTGTGTTGCTTACATTGTGGACATTACATTATTATTACATTATTATTACATTATACATTGCTGTGCTTGAGAGTCACCATCTACTGGAACCAAGTTCCTTGTATGTGTCTGTGCATATACATGGCCAATAAACGCGATTCTGATTCTGAGTCTGACCTCCCTGGTCTAACAACACAGGAGAAAACAAGGCTTCCCAAAAATATTGGGGAGCTCACTCCTACTCACTCCGCGCTTCACACACATGCCGGAATAACTAAATGGCTAAGGCTGCGTTTGCTCAGTCTGGACCTGGACCTGGACGCCACGGCTCTTCCATCGTCCTTTATTGGCTATGTCCACAGAGGCCCATCCTTCTGTCCACCAAAATTGATCACAGCACAGAAACAGCTTTAGTGAAGGTTGCACATGATCTTCTCTGACAGTGGACTGCTCGTCCTGCTAGACCTCAGTTCACTGTATGATACTGTTGTATTTGGCCATGAAAATCTTAGAAATGGTGTCCTATCAGTCTGTGTGTCCTCACCTTGGCCTCAGTGAGATTTGGCCAGGATGTCCTTTAATGCAAATATTAAACAAACATGCAGAACTGCTTTCTTGTATTTGTGCATCATCTCTAAAATTAGAAACGTCCTGTCTCAGAATTATGCTGAAAACCTAATTCATGTATTTATTACTAATCACATTATCTTAAATGGTAAATGGCCTGTATTTATATAGCGCTTTACTAGTCCCTAAGGACCCCAAAGCGCTTTACATATCCAGTCATCCACACATTCACACACTGGTGATGGCAGCTACATCGTAGCCACAGCCACCCTGGGGCGCACTGACACTGTGTGCCGGACACTGGCGCCACCGGGCCCTCTGACCACCACCAGTAGGCAACGGGTGAAGTGTCTTGCCCAAGGACACAACGACCGAGACTGTCCGAGCCGGGGCTCGAACCGGCAACCTTCCAATTACAAGGCGAACGCCCAACTCTTGAGCCACGATCGCTCCCTGAAAACTCTTTAGCTGATCCAAAATGCCGCAGAGAGTACTGAAAGAGAGCAGATTTCTCCTGTTTTGGCTTCCTGTTAAATCCAGAATTCAAAATCCTGCTCCTCACATACAAGGTCTTAAATAATCAGGCCCCATCTTATCTTAATGACCTTGTAGTACCATATCACCCTATTAGAGCGCTTCGCTCTCGCTCTGCAGGCCTACTTGTTGTTCCTAGAGTATTTAAAAGTAGAATGGGAGGCAGAGCCTTCAGTTTTCAGGCCCCTCTTCTGTGGAACCAGCTTCCAGTTTGGATTCAGGAGACAGACACTATCTCTACTTTCAAGATCAGGCTTCAAACTTTCCTTTTTGCTAAAGCATATAGTTAGGGCTGGACCAGGTGACCCTGAATCCTCCCTTAGTTATGCTGCAATAGGATGATAGCATGATACACTTCATTCACACTCCTTTCTATTCGCACTCGTCATGTGTCGATCACTGTCCTGTGCTTGCTCACAGCAGGTCTTCTGATGGTTGGGGTTTTCTCTGTATTAGTGTGGGGTCTATAGCTTGTTTTATAAAGTGTCTTGAGCCAACTGTTGTCATACAGTTGAAGTGACCTGAACTGAATTTAATGTAGGTTTAATTTCAAAAGATAAGTAGTGAAATTTACATTCATTTCACTACATGTCCGTTCCTCCCAGAGAGAGAAAATAAGCACGTGTTTCAAATCAGTCCCAGTGTAGGATAGAACGAGTCCAAAAGCACAAGATGATCTCCTCTCAGCTTGACTGTGTTCATCAGAGAAAGCTCAAGCATTGGCTGCCTCCAGTGTAGCCCTCCTTCACCATCTGTCCAATCAGAGGCAAACGCAGCCATGCAGAGCTGCCAGTATAAAGCTGCACTCAGAAACAGAGCAGAGCCCTCTGCATTAGCCTGCTACACTCTCTCAGGTAGGTCCATTCACACACACACACACACACACACACAAAGTTTACCTTTGTTAGAGTGCAGGGTCACACCACAGTATCGACTTCGTCTTCTAACATGGAAATGACGCTGTTTGTTGATGTGGATGTGGATGCTGGGGGGGTTTAAACTGCCCTTGAGGAGAGATGCTTTTGTTCTTTATGTTGTTGATAGAAATCTTATTCTCAGTTTTCACTTCAGTGCGGACATTAACTGTAAAATTCTACAGATTTCATTTAGCCTTGTAATGGAGTGTGCTTGGAGATATGCTCACTCAGTACTCACAGTTGTTCTTATGGAGTGTATTGTGGTCTGGGTATAGGAAGGAGCCCAGTGTGTGTGTGAGGTTGGATGAGTGGCTGTGTTTTAAATTCATTTGTATGAATTCAAATTCAAAGATTTTTTCTTATTCTGCAGAAAGTGATGTAACACAGTAACATCAATGATTGGGAACACGTTGTGTTGCCTCATTTTTATAATGGTGAAAGAACTCTGAATAGAAATCATGCAGCTCATTTGTGTTTTCCTTAAGATGGATATAGGAATGAACTTCGTATGCAGAAACACGATACACAGTGCTGTGAAAAAGCATTTTGCTGATTTGTCACACTTAACGCACTTTCTGATCATCAAACTAATTTTAATATCTTAGATACGAAATGCAGTTTTTCAGTTAACAGAGAAAAAGGCTTTAAAAAAGAGAAAATGAATTCAGCCTTAATAAATGGTTCAGTGGGCAAAGAACAGCCTGTTTCATGAGATGACATCTGAATCAAACTGAAGTCATTTTGTTCATTTGAGCCCTTCAGAGGTGGAGCTGCTGGGTGTTTCAGACCATCGTCCTGCTCCATAACACAAGTGTGCTTAACCTTCAGGACATGAACTGTTGGAATGAGACTCACAGGTTTCTCACATGTCCATCATTTTCTTTAGATCGCGATGCTTTTTGATCTTTTGTTCCACTTCACTTTGTCAGAAAGGTTCTATGTAAGTGAGTCCACAGGTCTGCTAATAATCATGTCTGGGTGTAGATCCTGCCAGGTATGATGAAGGAAATCATTATTTAAAACTGAAATATGTAAGTGTGAGAAATTTGCAAATAACTAAGAAGTCATGAAAAGGGCAAATGTGTTTTCACAGCATGTATGTAATCATGTCCGTTGTGGCTGCCACCAACGTGCTGAATGCTTATTATTAACATCACGCGTGTTCGTCGCATCTCTGCCTGCCCTTACCCCATGTTGTCATGGCAGATGGCTGTGGAGAGATTTGTTATCATAAGTCACACGTGAAGAAAAAGAAAACATAATCGGAGCAAATATTTTCATTTCATGAGTGCAACTGCTTGTAACTTCAAAAACCCACGCATACAAGTCATATGCAGCGTGTCTGCTCTGTGCACTTAGAGAGGAGTCAGGTTTGACTGCACAGATGTCCCATTCATCTGTACAGTATTACACAGCCTTCATGATTTTAAAAACAAAACGAGGATCAGGTACATCTAGCTATTGTAAACTCTGGTCAAAATGCAGACATGTCGTCTGCAGCAAACACAGTAGACTGAGCATGAGAAACCTGCCCCCGAGTTCAACGGTTTTTAAGATGTTTTTGGTATTAAAGTGAAGCCGGTGATAGATCAGGACATCCACACGTGCACAACACAAATAACAACGTCGTCAAACTTTACCTTCAAAACATCAACAAATCATCAAAAAGACACAAAGTTACTGATAAGTAGCACAGATCACTCTTTCACAATGGCAGATATTTTATAGAGAACTCTAATGTTATGTAGCATTAATATAACACAGTCTAACTAATAAACTGTGGTGTGATTTACCCACAGTGAAATAGCTCCAGCTGTGGTTTACAGTTTAATGCCTCAACAAGTATATTTTAACACATAACATCTGTACTTCTACTTCAGTAAAAGTGTCTTTTTACAGAATGTACATATACTATTACAACTTTTATATAGGATTCGGGATAGCTGATCATCAGTATTTGATCAAAGTGTTTTCTGGCTCTTTATGGAAACAATAATTACTAATAAGCACAGATCAAAGCACTAACACAAACAGCTCTTTAATGATGGTCCTGTTAGTCTCTTTATGAACACTGTTAAGATTTTAAATGAACAAATACACAAACTTATCAAACTCAAATTAAAATAACTGTAAGAAATATTTGAGCAGTGACAACAGACAGCAGATCGATGGTTTCCCTGTGAACTGTGGGTGAAAGGCAGGACACCAGAGTGACGGATCCACAGACATGCTGAAGTTAATCTGCCGTGTAGTTGCACACAGATAACCACAACACATAAAAACCTAACACAAGTAGCACGCAGTGGCTACAAGCATTGCATGTAATTTGTTCTAATATCCTTCAGATTTACACATGATGACAGCAGAAACCTGTTTAATCAGACAAATGAGCTCCTCATCAAAGAGAGCCGGTCACACCGTCCTCTCCTGTTTCCAGATGAAACACTGGAGCCTGAACCCACAGACAGCTGAGCTCTGGAGCCAGATGTTTAGTACTCACTGGCAACATGAGCACGGCCTGTATCTGATCACATTTTTACAAGTTCCGTTTACTTAGTTAACTAAGAAACTAAGAATCTGTTTTCTTGCAACTGACTTGCCAAGCTGTCCTTTGATTTAATGCAGTAATTGTCCATCAAAGTGACCAGTTCCTCATTCCTTTGAGCTCGGCCTCCACACATTGAACATGAAGATTAAACTTCAGCAGCACACGCAGACACCTGCCTGCTTCTTGTGGTCACACGTAAAAGTGTGGATCATCAGTCCACAGCTGACCAGCCTTTCCTGATTCTGCTGTTTACTCACCAGTGTTTTTTTCTAAAGGTTCATCTGATGTGAATCCTATTGTGATTTATAAAAAAAATAAAATGACCAAATATTAAAAGCCTGAAAGAAATCTGTTGCTGTGATATAAGCTGAACACCACTGCTGAAAGACTTCAAGGCTTTCTTTTCTTCCAGATTTAAACCAATCACAGGTGAGCCCTTTGTGGGAACGTGAACGTGCATGTGTCAAACCCCACAATTATAAATGTGACATTTAAAGAAGAACAAAATGTTTGAGACGTTGCTCAAGAAGTGTGGAAATAAATGGTTTTCTGATAAGTAGACAAAAAGCTCTTTTGTCTTTGTTTGGTTTTAGACATTTTAGCATTTCATTGTATTGAATCTAAATCCAGTAGTTGATCCTGCAATTGAATCCACGCTAAAGCACCTTAATGTAACTGATTTGACGCTATATAAATTAAACTGAATTCATTGGTCTTCCTTCTCTCACCCTAACCAATCACAGCAGATGGCCCCGCCCCTCCCTGAGCCTGGTTCTGCTGGAGGTTTTTTCCTGTTAAAAGGGAGTTTTTCCTTCCCACTGTCGCCAAAGTGCTGCTCATAGGGGGTCACATGATTGTTGGGTTTTTCTCTGTATGTATTATTGTAGGGTCTACCTTACAATATAAATAAAAAACAGAAAACCCCAACAATTAAATGACTCCCTATGTGCAAGCACTTTGGCGACAGTGAGAAAGAAAAACCCCCATTCTATCAGGAAGAAACCTCCGGAGCCATGACCGAAGGGGATGAGAGGAGGACAAAGCCACTGCTTTATAGAGGTCCCATATATAGACAGTGTTCTGTATACAGAGGAGGACAGTTTGCTGAATGTTTGATAAAATTTAAATCAGCAAAACAATGAATGAAAGAATGACTTTTCCAGAATCATCCAACCACCAGCGGCAGTGAACTCTGTTCTGGCCTAACATCATACTTCCTGTTAAAAGGGGTTTTTCTTTCCCACTGTCGCCAAGGTGGTGTATGGTAGCTGTGTTGGTTTTTCCCAACGATTACAATCTTTCTATAGATGCAACACATATATGGTGCTGATGAAATTCATCTGAGAGAACGTGAAAAAGAACAACACAGCTGGATTCCAAACATTTTTGTTCTTCCTTTTAAAAAAGGAAAAGGAAATTTGGAGATTTCACCAAATCTATCCAACACTAATCCGTGACTATTGTTGAATGTATTGTTTATACTAACATGAAGAATGCTTTCAGAAAACAAATCCATCTGTATCAACTGAATATAAAAAAATACACAAGGCTGTGCATCCAGTGGTCAGATAATCAGATAGTTATTTGTCTTGTATTCTCTGAGTGCTTCCAACACATGTAGAGTGTTACAGCTACTAATGAAGAACTAATTACTGCTTAAAGAGGTGTTGAAAGTGACAGTCAGACTGGACAGTATATCCTTGCCTTTTCTTTAAACACAAAGCTCATTGCTAGAGCCAGGGATGGAATAAAAGTGATGCCCTTCAACTGCTTTTTAGTTTTAGCTTCCTTGTTTTCCACCATAGTCTAGGTTCTGTCACTAGTTACCTAACATTAGCAGACATTGTGCATTGTCTTAGATCCAGCTTGTGTTAAATCTATGACAGGTTTTAGTGTAGGGCCCCATGATGTAAATTAGACTTAATACATGTCGTGTTTCATGTCCACTTTGAGTACAGCACTGCTTCCAGTCACATTTAACAGGCTGCTGATGAGTTGTTGCGGGGGAGGTGGAAGTGGAGGAGGTGACAGCTGAGCATTGCAGTATAAGTGCCAGGCCTTTCAGTGGTTACCATGGCACCAAGTCTGTCGCATTCTTGTGTCGTTACAGGAGAGTGTGTGTGTGTGTGTGTGTGTGTGTGTGTGTGTGTGTGTGTGTGTGTGTGTGTGTGTGTGTGTGTGAAACCTTCCACTGGCAGTATTTGCCACTGTCACTATCCAACTGCAGATGAAACCAGATAGAAAACAATTTGTTTCATGGTCCGGTACCGGTCCGAGGCCCGGGGGTTGGGGACTGCTGCCTTACAACACACTAAGACTACACGGTAAATTGATACAGTTAAAGAAGGAAAAGACAGGCCATAAAGTCCATGAGTTTTATTGTTGAAGTTTCTAAGGACCTGTAGGATTCCGCAGTGAGCAAACAGGTGTTGGCCACCATGTGAAACATCCGTTAAAATATTGCTTCACTCTGGAAAGTTATGGGTTGGCAGTATCTTCCAGGAAGATGCAGCTGATGATATTTTTTGCACTTTTTGCTCTTTGAAAAGCCATTTTTGTCTCCTGCAAGATGGAAAGGAACTCAATTTGCTTTTTTCTGCTTGATTCATTATTTTCTATGTCTATATACAGATGCTGCCTACCTCGTTTGTAACAAGTAGCTGGCTGAGTTATTCTTGCCTCCTTATCAGCTCAAAGCAGTCTGGACATCCTCCTCTGACTCCTGACATCAACAGGGGGAACTGCTGCTCACTGAGTATTTTCTCATTTCAGACCATTCCCATGGTTGTACATCAACCTGAATTACTCACAGCAGCTCATCTGCATCAACAATCATCTTTCTTTATGTTGAGGCTTGGTTTGAACTTCAGTGAGCTGTCTCAACTGTAGCTACGTGCCTACACACTTTGACTTGCTGCTGTTTTAAGACTGTATACATTTTCTTCGTCTGTTGTCTCATGCATATAGTTCCACATGTATGATTTGCTTCTGTCAGTGCTATCAGTTTTGTTTCAACAAATCCTTCACGTTTCATTTTTCTGTCTGAACACTTTTTCTCTAGCTTATGTCTACATTTTTACAGAACTATTTCCAATGTCAGCAAGGCTTCGATAATAAAACGAAACATTTTGATAACAAAGTCTTCATACTGTGCTGAAAGTGTTTGAATTCCTATCCATGTTTAGACAAATGTCAAATAAGGTTTAATTGTTTTCATGGCTTTTGCACAAGCAAGTCTGTGTTATGAAAATGCCATAACTTGATAAGAAGTGCATGAAGAGCAGTGGTGATGGGCCTGATCTCTGATAACAACGAGACGGCCTACCTGAAGGAGATTAGGAATCTGGAGAACTGGTGCCAGAGGAACAACCTCCTTCTAAACGTCAGTAAGACAAAGGAGCTGATAGTGGACTTCAGCACTAAGCAGGAGAGGAACTACCAGACCCCCGTCATCAACGAGTGCCCAGTGGAGAGAGTGGACAGCTTCAAATACCTCAGAGTTCACATCACGCAGGACCTGTCATGGTCCTGTCACATCAACACCGTGGTGAAAAAGGCCCGACAGCGTCTCTACAACCTCAGACGCTTGAGAGACTTCCAGCTGCCCTCCAAGGTGCTCAGGAACTTTTACTCGTGCACCATAGAGAGCATCCTGGCGGGAAACATCTTAACCTGGTTCGGGAACAGCACCATGCAGGACAGACGAGCTCTACAGAGGGTTGTGCGGTCGGCTGAGCGCACCATCCGCTCCGAGCTCCCTGACCTGCACTCAATCTACAGCAGGCGGTGCTGGACCAAGGCCAGGAAGATGGTGAAGGACCTCAGCCATCCCAACAACAGACTGTTCTCTCTGCTGAGGTCAGGAAAGCGATTCCGCTCCCTGAAGACCAACACAGAGAGACTGAGGAGGAGCTTCTTCCCGCAGGCGATACGGTCTCTCAATCACACCACCACACAGTACTGACCCACACATACAGTTCTTACACACACACTGGACTTTCTGGACTTTGTTTTCACTTCATCACTTAAATCACTTTAAGCATATTTGCACTGCACAAGACATAATGTGGATTGCACAACACTGGTCACTATATTCTTCATTTCCAGTTAATACTTGTACAGCTGCTGTTATTGTGTGTATATTTATTTATATTTAGATTTCTTCATACATTCTTATATAGTTCTATATTGTGTATTTTGTTGTACAGTTATTTTATTTTCAACTTTAATTTATATATTTTATCTTATTCTCCCAGTTAAATTTACCCTTCATTCTAATTTGTGTTGTACAGTTATTTCATTTTTAACCTTAATTTATATTTTATTCCTTCCTAGTTAAATTTACCCTTTTTAATTTTTCATATTTATTTCCTATCTTATTCATAGCCTTTTCATTTTTTGTTTTCTTTAGGTCACGAGCAGTTGTCCAAGCATTTCACTACATATCGTACTGTGTATGACTGTGTACGTGACAAATAAAATTTGAATTTGAATTTGAATTTGAATTTGATGACATCCCTGCTGTGAGAACTGTAATAACATCAGGAACTTAATGGTACTATGGACGACAACACTTAAGACGAACTCTGAGGCAATCACACAAGTTACCATCACATGTGGAATATACCAATGTGATGCACTGTTCCCCGCTGTTGATCTGCACAGGCCTCGGTCCTCTAAGCCAGCAGTCCCCAACACCCGGGCCATAGGCCGTGAGAGTTGAGGCTCGGGTGTGAAATTTATGGTTTTCAGGGTTTTTATGGTTAACTGGGTTTCCCTGGGTCTTTTCCCGTGTTGTAGTTGTGTCTTATATGGAATGAAATGTTTACGCGTTACCATAACGACCAGAGAGCATTAAGGGGGAAAGAGGAGGATGTTATTGTTGGCGCATTTCAGGAGGCCGCTGCTATTAAAGTTACACAGTTACACAGTGAATTCGTGTTTATTTACAAAATACCACAGTTTTTGTCTTAATCGTATCATTTTATTTTGTTGAATTTATCTGCGACATCTTAAAGGCCGGTCCATGAAAATATTGTCTGAGATTAAAGTGGTCACAAGGTTGGGGACCGCTGCTCTAAGCCAGCCCACCACTGAGAGTGGATATAGATTCAGGAGTGGACTAAAATCTGCAACCTCTAGAAAAATGTACCGAGACAGTCTTGTTAAAAATCTGCTGCTATCTAGCTGGATGATGAAGACAAAATGAGGGTGGATGCTTCTGCAGTTGCCTCACGGTACAAAGAAAACAGAGAAAACCCAACAAAACATGAGCCCCTTTGAGCAAGCACTTCGCTGACAGTGGGAAGAAAAAAACTCCTTTTCAACAGGAAGAAGCCTGTGGCAGAACCAGGCTTAGGATGTGCTGCAACAGGAGAAAGACACCCTGTGGAAGAGAGCCAGAGATTAATGATAACTAATGACTAAATACAGAGTGCTGTATAAACACAATGGGAGATAACAAGGTGAGGGCCCTAACAGCGGCCATAGTAGTTTTGTTGGTTATCAGAATATTATTTATTATTCTCTAAGGCAGCGGTCCCCAACCCGCGGGCCTTGGACCGGTACCGGTCCGTGAGTCATTTGGTATCGGGCTGGAAGAGTTGAGGCTCAGGTGTGAAATGTCTGGTTTTCAGGGTTTTTATCGGTTTTCAGCGTTATGTTGTTATCGTTTTTATCATTAACTCGGTGTTCCTGGGTCTTTTCACGTGTGTTATGAATAAATCTTCTTTTTTTCGGTACCAGTACTGGTTTTATTTTGTTGTATTTATCCGCGACACCTTAAAGGCCGGTCCATGAAAATATTGTCGGGCACAAACTGGTCCGTGGCGCAAAAAAGGTTGGAGACCGCTGCTCTAAGGAAATGATGTGGGTTACAGTTGCTCCAGACAGTAACAGACTAAACTAATTAAGTAGTACAACATGTTACAGAGTTTACATATTTAAAAAATAGCACTAATATATAGAAATTGCTCACTGTACCGTATCACCCACAGGATGATCTGGTACTGTAAGGTCATTGAAATAGGATGAGGCCTGATTACTCAACACCTTCTTTTCCATGAGAAGAATTTTAAAATCTGTGTGGCAGAATGGGCCAAAATGACACCAAAGCACTGCATGCGACTAGTTTCTCCATACAGCAGGCAGCTTGAAGCTGCTATCATCAACAAAGGCTTTTGTCCAAAAGATTAAATACATTTTAGTAAGCATATATCTTCTCTGTGTGTTATTTCTAATTTCGTTTTAATAACAGGAAAGTTTGCAGCTTAAATACATGCACAGTTTATGCTATCCTTCAGTGGCAAAGCTAAGAAGCCACTGTTGTGGCTGATAGTTTGAATGTTAATGTATGTAGGAAGTAGCATCCTGGCATTTGTAATGGCAGTACTCACTTTTTCTATTTGTTTAACAAACATATTTACAGACAGACGTGTGCACACAGACACACAAACACACAGGGAGAGTCTTTTGTATTGTGTACATTTCTGTCACACTGTTTATACTTCTTGTCTTTATTATTTGGTTACTTGTGTAACTAAACAGCATATATAGGGCTTATGGTCTGAACAGGCTACATTTTCCTATGACATTATTTAGCAAAAACACTGCAAACAAAACTTGATTTTTTTTTGACAGATAAAGCTGCAACACAAGATTTCAGACACATTTCCTGATGTAGCAGCAATCAGCCCCTGCAAAGCTTACTTAAAGTGTGTGGTGGTACCCAGACCCAGTCCTTACATAAGGGTAGACACAATAGACAAAAAATACTCTCTAATTTAGCTGTTTTTTATACGCTGCCTGTCTTTCTGCACTCAATGACAGAGGAAACAGAGGAATGAACTCCAAAACACACACACACACCTATATATGTGTGCGTGTGTGTGTGTTTAAAACAAACAAACAGCAATTCTCCGTTCTAAAAAACAAATCTTTCCTTCTCTTATTCTCTTTTCTCTCAGAAGGCTACCTCAGTGGATAGAGAGGCAGATGGAAAGGAACTGAAGAAAGGTTGCAGCACAGCTGAGGATCACAACTCCATGTCCATCACCATGGAAACAGCAGAACAATCAGCGTTGGAGATGGATTGTGAAGTGGATGTTGGCATGGCTGATTCACCTAAGCAACAGGATTTTATTGCAGATGATGAGCTTGTTTGTTCAGCGACACCGCCATTAGTCCCAGAGTCTCCGTTGGAAAAGGTAACGCTCGACACTTTATTAACTGACATGCCAAGCAGCAGAGACGCAAATGACAAGCTTGACTGCTCTGACCCCAACGTCTGCACTGAAACGGCTTGTCAGAATCAAAAAGAAGCTTTGGTTTTGGAGCCGGGCTGTGAAGAGCTCAGCAGGAATGAATCAGTCACCTCATCTGTGTCTGACCCACTCTCCAGTGTAGACAGTGTGTGTGAGAATGACCCCCAGCATAACAGGAGGAAAACACCAGAACTAGATCCTGCGCAAGAACAGACCCCTGAGCTAGAACAAGATGCTGTACCAGTGCAACGCCCAGAGCCTGGTGAAGATCCTGAGGAACTAAGTCTTGAACTAGAGCAATACCCTGAACTAGAGCAATACCCTGAACCGGAGGAATACCCTGAGCCAGAGCCGTTCCCAGAATCAACGCAATTCCCTGAACCAGCGCTAGACCCTGAGCTAGAGCCGTTCCCAGAATCAATGCAATACCCTGAACCGGAGGAATACCCTGAACCAGTGCTAGACCCTGAGCCAGAGCCATTCCCAGAACCAACGCAATACCCTGAACCAGTGCTAGACCCTGAGCTAGATCAGTATCCTGAGCCAGAGCCTGGGGCTGTTGACAATTATCTGCATTCTGAACAAGATGGCTATCTAAATCTGGAAATATATAAAGACCCAGAGGCCCAAGAACTCATATTTGAACCATCCGTCACAGAGGAGTCTATGTTAGCACAGTGCATTAGAGAAGAAGCTATGTCAGACGTCTCCACCGAATCCTGCCATGAACCTGGTCCTGACGAAATGGAAGAATGCCTGAGAGTTGAGATTGCAGCAGCATCTTCAGATAGTGAGACGGATGAAAAATGGAGAACAATATTCTCCTCTTCTATTAATAAAGAAGATGATGATTCATACTTGGATAGTCTTCAGTTGAGTGCCCAGGAGCTCTTTGTACAAAAAGCTGAGATGACAGGTGCTGAAGACCAAGACAGCAACGCTTTTCATGAAGTGTGTTTTGAGGTCCCGCAAGTGGAAGACGTTCTGGAACAGCCCGAGGTTAACGTTCCTTTTCCCAGCCCTTCACAAGAGGTTAAATATAACCCGTTAGGCCTTCAAGGCTTGTCTAAAATATCTGAAGATGAGAGTGAGAATGGTAAAGATGCCAGTTATAACCACATCACTCACCAACCGCACATCAGTGTAGATGCAGTCAAGAAGCTACCTAAAGACTTCTGTGTGATACAGGAAACCAAGAGTGAGAATGTTAGTACAGAGCACGTGGACTTCCAGCTGGCTCGTAAACAGTGGCGGGAAATGGAGGAACAAACCAAAAACAAGGTAGTCTTACCTACAACCAAGCAGCTGAGCTTCCACGGCAGCCACAGTTTCATGTACACTCCAGTACGCAACATTGACCGACCTCACAAGAAAGCACATGATCTGGAAAACTTAGATCTGGTTGGGGAGTATCCTCACACCCAATTCAGCCCCTGCTCAGAGGATTCTGGTTTGGATGATTCCAGTTACAGGTCCCCTTATGATGATCCAGAAGCAGTTGAAAGGGATATTCGCATATCACTGGAGAGGGAAGAAAATTTCAAAAGGGAGAGGGGCCTTTCCAGGATGGGCAAATCAACTGATTGTGCACCATCAAGAAGTATCCCTAGATCAATAAGCACTCCACTGACACCGTCATTCATCATCACCTCCTCACCTACCAAGGAACCATTCAAACATGAAATGTCAGCGAACAATGTAATTATTCTGGACCCTAGCAATGATTTTACCTCTAGTCCCAGGCATTTTAAAGACAACATGAAAGCTCAGTCTAGTGAGTGGCACTCCAAAGAGACCAGCTCCAGTGTCATCATCCTGGAGACGTCCAATTTGATTATTCGCAGTGCCTCTGAGTTCTCTCTCAGTAAAGCATGTGAGCAGCCCCAGGAAAAAATGTTCCTGAACAACCCATTTTTCAAACTACGTTCGAGAAGCACAATATCCTTGGTGGATGAAGAGATCAAGATGGTAAAGCAGAGGGAGGATGAGCTGAAGAAGGAGAGGGAAAATCTGTATGCCAAAGACAGGTTCTGCGCAGAAAGAGTATTGTCAAATCGCATGGAAACGTTGACCTTTAATAACTCAGGTATGCTAGCATGATATTCACCATGCATGTTTTCCTTCCATTTTGCCTATGTTAATGCTAATTATCAATTGTGGTGTTTCTTATTAGTTGATGTTCCTGTGAAATGCAAGTCGTCTCCATCTTCACCAATGAAAACCACCCACAGGATGGATCGTGCTGCTCTATCGTGTGATCACAGAGTGAGTTCTTGATAAAACATCTTTGAATTTCTTTGTCATCAACCAAAACATGCAATTTCATGCTTTGCATTTCATATTTGTACTGTCATTATGAAACCTGAGACTTGATAAATAAGCTCAAACATAATGTGCTCATTGTCTCATTTATAGTGTAAATAAGATATGAGGTGATTGTTTGTGTGTTTTCATAAATACAAATTTTTTCATGGTTAATTCTGGCATTTACTAGTAATTTGTGTGACCTCATCTAACGTGAGGACTATTTTTGCCTTATAAACATTTATAAATAAATGTAATGTCTCTGGCCTGTGTCCAGACATGTTGACACCGCTGCAAGTGATGTCGCACAGAAGGAGCAGCAAGTTCAATCTGTGTCTCTGGGAATAAAGGGGGTTGGTATCCTAGGGAGATCTCGACAGAAGACAAAACTGTGCAGATGAGGTGTGAGACATGTGTACATACTCCACCCAGACAAGATATGATGACCGAGTTGATGGATTGTTGGAAGTGAAGCAGTGAAGTGTAGCCTCCAGCTCCTGATCCAACCCTTCTGTTTGGCTGTTGGTCTGGGGATGATATCTGGAACTGAGACTGACCCGGGCTCTGTCATGTTCAGTTTCTTCAGAAGGAATTACAGGAGAAATATATATAATTTAAAAAGATTTAATTTGCTTCGGCAGTTGGAATTACAAGTTGGACTGGACCTCCATGTGAACACAGCCACCTGTCTTCACACAAAGGACGGCCCTGGATCGGGCCGTATAGTTTTTATAACCCAACAATAACACACTATTATTATAACTGTCTTCTTCCCCGAACCATCCTGATGTCTCCATTTGGCCTTCTCCTCACTCACGACCCTCATTATCTGCTTCTTTTCCTGGAATGACAAGACAGAAAAGAAAACACCTCCCTGCCTAGCCTTGATCATTTTAATAATATCCTACTACTGTTTCAATTTGACTCTCTTTGGCCTAGCAAATATCCTTCTAACCATTATCTAGTGTGATGTGTAAGCATGTAGCAAAACCCTCTGCTTCCCATCAGTTCTCAATATTTGGACTGACAAGCACTCTGTCTGTACTTAGTGCTGTCTAACTACACAGTCACACTCCGGTGGATGCATCGGAGAGAAACTTGGGGTTAGCATCTTGCCCAAGGATACTTGGCATGCAGACTGGAGGAGCCTGGGATCAAACCGCCAACCTTCCGATCAGTAAGTGACCTGCTCTACCTCCTGAGCCACAGCCACCCCAGTCCAGGCCCGTCATGCCGCTGAACAACGTTTTAGATCCTCAAAATATGGAGCGCCAACTTGTTTTTGAGCACATTGCGTTGTTTATATAAAAATAATAAAAACAGCTTTAATTAATCATTTTAAACCATAGCAGCTCCCAATGCCAAACAGAAGGACTTCCACACCTGTGAAGTAAACTGAGGACCTCGATCCGACGGGATCTGGAATTCCGTGGAGTCGGAAAACATGATCTGTCAATAGTTTAGCTGTCTCAACAGCTGATGGCAGTTTGTCCAATGCTAAAGGTGGGCTGAATTAGAAATCCTATCAACACTGGTGAGTATTACAGTTTTTCCCAAGGAAGCGGGGAGACCAGTAACAAAATCTATGTGGAACAGAGTCTCTGCGGAATGGCTAGTGGTTGGAGCAACCCGAAAAAGCACTGGTTATGGTGTTTATTGCAGGCAAGCTACTACGTACTCTCTCACATCCTTTTCTACCGAATCCACCAAAAGTGACAGCGAAGCAAACATATGGTCCTACTCATCCCAGGATGAATGGAAACATGGAAGGTATGGATCCAGTGGAGTACTGTGGCACATGTAGAGGTGGGTACAAACTGGCAACTAGGCGGGCCAGTGCCTGGGTTAGGCTTCTCCTGAAGGGCCTGCTGGATCGTGTCCTTGATTCTCCAGGTTACTGCACCCACCCTGCAGGAACCAGGGAGGATGTAACCAGGCTCAGCAGTACTAGTGTTGGTGGCGAACTGGCGAGAGAGAGAGCGTTTGACATTTCTGGACCTTGAACGATAGGAGTTAAAGTTAAAACGTGCAAAAAATAGTGACCAGTGAGCCTTGACGGGCGTTCAGTCTCTTGGCTGTTCTCAAATAGGTTAAGTTCTTGTGATCTGATTCAGCTTCAGGTGGCCAAGTGAACAAAACCTTTGCGGACATGAGGTAAGTTACAGGTGTCTTGATGCATGCTCAACCAACCTGGTGAGTAAGTGACTTCTTCAGTCTCAGGTGACTGCAGGTTTCCCCAATCTTATAAACAGGACATGTGCATAATGACTGAAACCAGCCCACTGAGGAACAATGGGCTGGAAGGTGACGTCCTTCATCATAATTATGCAAATTCTCATGACCATTGATCAACAACCACTGATCAAAGCCCACTGATCATTGGCCATGAGTACCACTCACAGAGAGTTGGGGATTAGCTGCAATCACAGCATTGTAAGATGGTGACAGATGTGCCAGTGGTTGTTGAGTCATGAGAATTTGCATAATTATGATTAAGGAAGTGACCTCCCAGCCCATTGTTCCTTCAGTGGGCTGGTTTCAGTCATTATGCAAAAGTAGTGTTTATAAGATTGAAACCTGCAGTCAGCTGAGACTGAAGACGTCACTTGGATGAGTGAGAAACGTTTCTCCCACAAAACACTACGTCCAGATGAACAGAATCAACCTTTTGGAGATAAGTTACAGGTGCTGCTACCTGACTGTTGTTGTGGATAAAATGGGAAACGTCTGTACAAGTTTGCAAACCCAAGGAACTGTTGAAGGTGCCTGCGAGTGGAAGGAGTGGGCCATTCAGCGACTGCTCAGATTTTGGCAGGGTCCGTCTTCACCTGCCCCTCTGCCAGAAATTAGTCCAGAAAAATGACGGATGGTGAATGCAACTCGCACTTCTCTGCTTTACATACAGCAGCCACTGAAATACCGTGTGAAAGCGGATTCAATTATCTGGGAGATCCTTGGAAAAAATGTCATTGAGGTGGACAAACACGAAAAGGTTTAGGAAATCTCTGAGAATGTTATTCACTAGTGCCTGAAAAAGTGCTGATGCATTTGTAAGACTGAAAGGCATGACTTGGTATTCAAAGTGACCCAGTGGGGAATTAAAGGCTCTCTTCCATTCATTCCTATATCTGATGTGGACTAAATGGTAGGTGTTTTTCAGGTCCAGTTTTGTGAAGATGGTGGCACCATGGATGGGTTCAAAAAGATGATGGGATGGCTGCCAGTGAATCCAGAATATAGAACAGAATGGAAACTAGGACCAGAGGAGGTGGCGCGGGGACCGGGATCGGAGACTAATGAAAATAGGTGGGCTGAGACTTGAGACTCCTTTCAGCCCTCTCTCCCTCAGGCCATTTTCAATCCTAAGAGAGAGAGAGAGACCAGATCCTCGAAGGACTCAGGCATCTTGGGAGGCTAAGTTGTCCCACATCTGATCATTCAGGCCTTGAAGGAAAATACCCTGAAGGGCGCGATCGGGTCAGCCTGCCTCAGCTGGCGTGGTGTGCAAATTGATCAAAAATTCCATGACGCTTCATGAGAAGGGTTGCAAAGAAAGCTGTAGGCACAAGGAGACAAGGTAAGTATGCAACAATCAACAGCAAAATCACAAGGAAATAGAGCCATGTTGTCACCATGAGTCGCTGATGGACTGGAGAAGAAGAGATGACCTCACCGGGCTTAAATGCAGCCACGCTGATCATCACTGAATGAAACAGGTGAGTGAGAGTGTCCAAGGTCCTGCCCAGGATCCGGGAAAACACAAGAGGAGACGGAAAAACACTGGCCGTTCACACGGACATCATGTGCCTCATCACCTGAGCCAAGGTGCAAGAATTCCTCTGTCTAACCTCACAGTATAATAAAAACACCATGTTTGTAGCCACAAAGGGGAGGTGCACTGTTATTGTAATCTCAACACATTATTACACTAAAAATTCTACACTCCTCAGTGACAACGGCACCTATGAAGCCCACAACACAGTTTGTTTTTGCTTTATTTTCCACAAAATTGACACCAGATGTTTTGGTTTTTATTCTTTCTCATATTTCTAGTATTTTTTTCTTCTCTGTCCTAATTTTACCAGATAAAGAACTGAAGGCTCTGTTCCTTTCCAGTATTCTGGAAACCTCGAATGGGAATGTTTGTACCTGCCAATACATTTGTCTTTGTTCTGTATCTCTATGTGCATCATTTGTGTGTTGTTTCTGTTGTGAATAGAGCTGAGACTTGTTGTACTTGAGGTACTTTAATTTTCATTTATAAATGCTTTATAAGGCAAAAAAAAAATAGTCATCACTTTAAATTTAGGATATTTAATTAATTCATTAATTTTCTTTTATTAATTCATTTAATGAAGTTAGTTAAGCACACTTAATGCTTAACCAACAACTATTTACTGCTTGAATTAGCCATGAATCACAGTAAGAAATGACAAATCACTTATTTGGACTTGTTAAATGATACCATGCACATGTTCTACTGTATATGAGCTGATTAACCAGGAGAGGTTAATACGCTTCTGGCGACTTTATAAATGAGGAATTAAGCGCTCACTGAGGAGGGACATTATTAAACTTCAAAGTCTAATCTTTTTTTCAGAGGACTGTAGTCTACTGTGCAGTCCTGTGAAAAACACGACTGCAACAACTATGTTGTGATTTAAAAGCATGTGGAGCCACGTTTAGCAGCGATAACTTGAAGTATTTGTTTTCAGTGATCATGTCCATGATCTCATGTCACTCCCCTCAGCTCGTGATCATAGCTGAGGGGAGCAACGTAGATTTGATAGGTAAACTGACAGCTTCACTTTTATGCTCAGCAGAGTGTCTGTTAGTCACACACTCTGCTCTCACACCCTCGTGTGTGAACACAAACCCAACATACTCCTCCACTCGGGGCAGCAACTCGTTCTGGAGCTGGAGTGGGCGCTCCACCCTTTTCCAGCTGGCAGCTTCTCATTCATGTCACCTTACACTGAGAGGTGCAGCTACTTCAGTGCGAGGCTGGAGGCAGAATTTAATCATGAGGCCACTAAAGAGGAGACACCTCACCAAGTGGCTCCTGTATCAGTTCACATGACACAGATCTCATCCCTGGTGTTTGCACCCAACTACAAGTAGCTGGTCTCTGCTCACGGATATGCCCACAACAATGCTGTTGTCTGGAAACATCCCTCTCTCAGGAAAGCCGCAGAGCTCAATGGCCATGACGACAGAGTTCGGAGTTTGACTCTCAGTCCGGGCTGCTCTGATATTCCTTCCATAAAAACTACAATCAGAATTTGTGACCAAGAGCAGCCTTGTCAGAGTCCGACACCCACCAGAAACAATTTTATTATTATATTATTATTTTATTTTATTATAAACAGATACTAAAGGTTCTGTGTAGATTATTTGTTCGTGTAAATGGAGAGTCCTCATGCAATAAACGTTAACTATGGAGTTCCACAGGGTTCAGTGTTAGAGTCATTTCTATTTACATTTAACTTGCTTCCATTCAAATATTATTGGGATTAATACTGGAATCTGTGAGTGTTCAGAAATGGCTCCAAAAGATCTTCTGTTGAAATCTACAATTCTCCTTCCCAGATTTTCACTGAGATGAATTTTATTCTGAATGTTGGTTATTCTAGTGAGTGCTGCTGAACAAATCCAAAGAAAATATTACTCTGACATTCACATGCACACTGAGTGTATGTAACTCCTGATCACAGGTGTATATTTTATGGCTTTGTTTGTTACAATAGTCTTTATTTTAGGCAGAAAAAACAGACTTGCTTATTCAGGAAACCTTTTACATCCTTTTCCTTTGTGGTGAAATACTTTTACTAGGACATTTCGCCCTCCACACAATTTATTGTAGCAGCCAAAACTACAAGCTTTATAAAATAAACTCTACTTCATGCACCCGGCTGTATCATATTTGATGTCCAATTTTCACCATGAATTTAGTCAAAGTTAGTATGCCATGCACAGTAAAGACATGTCTCTTTAAGACAAATATTTATATTTAAGTAATGGAAGCCATGTTGAATCAGTCTCCCTCTGAAGTCATCTTGCATTATAGTTTCGATGATGATTTGTACATCTGAAAAAAGTATGTGCGTCAAATATAGCAGCAGCTGGCGTGACAGGGTTGTACCTCGGAAAGAAAGAAGTCACATCCTGTCTTAACTGACAATAGTTTGAGTCACAATAGAATCACAGAAAGAAAAGGTGGACTGTCATTGCAAAACTTGCTTATCCCATCTTTATTCTAATAACCTGAAAAAGCTGGTGGAAGAGGTGGAGGGAGTGGTGTGAATGCAGTAAACCAATAAAGTGTCTTTTGCCAGTTTCCAGAGATCCACACTGGAGGAAGACGCAAGAGTGCCATGGCTTTGCGCTGGGAGGCGGGAGAGTTTACAAAGAATGAATGAAATGCAACAAGTCAAAGGTTCACTGCTGTGTTATTCTCATTCAAGTCAGATGCACTGTTAAAATGGTTTGTTTCATGTTGTGACATAACCTAAATTCTGCTTCGTGTGATGCTTGGGCAAAGAGTGTTTATCCTTACGTTAGTCTGAACAAAGTTTATTGAGCACTGATGGCGGATCTGATAACGCTCAGTTCTGGCCAAGAGGTGCCTATTATGTTTGTGAACACCCAGACGCATTTGACATTTGTTCATTACTTGTGAATAAATACTCATATTTGCTGCTGTTTTAAAGTCTTAATAAGCTACAAAATCTGTAATTGTTTTAGTAAAGTGATGTTTCTTAGACAACTAAAAGCAGTGCCAACATACTTTGTATTTAAACCCTAAACAACTATTTTTCTTCTTATGTTTTGGCTTGTGAAGAAGCACAGAAGGTCCTAAAACTGACAAACAGTGCAGTAAAATAAGAACAGACCTCAGCAGTTTGATATGGCATTGAGTGCATGTCCTGTTAATGCACTACGTGTTTAGTGGATCCTGGTCTTTTGCTGAAGATTTCCTTCTGTGGGAATAGATTGGATAAAGGATCATTTCATTGTTTGTGCCATGTCAGATGACTGATTGGAGTTAGTCAGTATTAAACCTCCAATAATGTAAATGGACTGCATTTATAGAGCTCTGTACCTTTATTAACCACCCTGAAATGTCTCTGCTGGGAGAAAAGTGCATCAATTGTTCTGTTGTTGGTGGCAAGAATGAGCATAGCAGGCTTCATATAGTCCCAGGCTCTCAGCATCTTAAGGCCCTGTGGATTACTCACAACAAGAGGAACTCACGGTATGGTGGATGCTTCATATGGCTATAGTTACCATCTGTTTGCTTTTCTATTGTTCTGTCGTTGCAGTTGATGTGCTTTTCTGCTTTAACACAACTGAATTCTCCAAAAAGGCTCCAATATGTTTCTGTTTCTGCTGTTAGACAAAGGAACATGCATGAAAAACAAGAGACTAGTTAAAACCAGCTCAGTCCCTTTAATGCCATTTTCTTTCTCACTGCTGAAATCATCAGAACAGCAACGTTGTGTGGAAAAACCAGAAGGTGTACATACACAGACAGCTTTGCCTCAGTTTTATATGATGAATAGACTCGTCTGCCTTTAAAAACATATGAAATTAGACACAAAAAAACTGTTAGTGTCAAAGGATGAAACGAGAAACAGAATCATAAAACCTGGAAGCACAACAAGGGCTCTGTGAGAACGATGGCACAATCTGAACCAGTCCTTCAGTGAAAGCGTTTGTTCTTTCTGCCCCTGACAAATGTATAATACTGTCCACTTTTTGCTAACCTTTGAGACATTATACATGTCAGTCAGATTTTTGATGTTATTGTATGTCTTGATAATGAAAATGTGACATTGGTCGGTGTATATTAACTGTATTTTCATATTATGCTGTTAGTTGCAACTGATATTTTAAGCTGGATGAACACAGGAGGAATATCCATGCATCCAACTGAAACAACATAGACATCACTCAGACAATCATATTATAAATGTCAAGATTTTTATGAGACTACATATAAATTTATAATTCCTTTTCAACCCTCCTTGTGAGGGTCAATGAAGCCATGGCCTAGCTCTAAATTACACAGGGTAATTAAAGGTTACTCTAATAATTAACAACTTATTTATTTATTGTTACAGTGGGTTCCTTTACATGAACAAACACACTGATGGTTTTTTAATAAATGTTTCAGCCTCTCTGAAAAACAATTTATACAAATTCAGTGCTTTCACCTAAGAGTCTATTGATCCTAAACAGTTTATTTTTCATTTCAGGTTTGTATGCTTAATTGCTGAAGTATAGCTTACAAAACGTAAGGATTGCTTGCTGATGTTTAAACATTTTGTGTATAGCCTCCTCTGCCGCTTTCAGGGGCTGACTGGGGCTCTATTTGCAGGGGATTTTCACCGTGTATTCCTCATGCAAAAATAAATAAAGCTATATATGATATATGAAGAACTTTGTCTAGCTTTGTTTGCTGTTCATCAGCCTGTGATGCCTGTTGTGAAAATATGGTTGTGCATAGGACACAGTAATCCTGAAAGTCACACTCAAAGGTTTATGAATGACAAAAAACAAAAACAGCTTATCTTCTTTATCATCTGGTGAGTATAAAATGCCATAAAATCATTGTGATTCTGTAAGTCCATGAATAAAGTCCTCATCTTTTTTGAGATTCACTAAAAAGACTATTTAATTTAAATAACTGCCTCATCTGCCTTATGTAAAAAAATTCCCAAGAATGGTGACTGAAAGTTTTCATAACTTGTTCATAAGGATCCAAAATGAAGGACCCCAGACTCAGGGAAACACTCAGAGTTGCAGCTTTATTTGCAGATAATTAATAATGCAACTATAGTTGCACATTTCTGTCCCAAGCGTCGAAAAAATAATTCTTCCACTTCTTAATGTGAGCTGACCAGGTTTATTTCTGACTCGTACACACAAAACAAAGCTACCACAGCACGATGTCATGGTCAAAAAACTGTTTGCAGCTACAACGCGCATCTCCCCCGCTGTGCTGGCTCATTCTAACCACACAAAAGGACAAAACACGGGGCAGAGGCAAAGGAAACGGGAAGGAAAATAACTAGATGGGGAAACATACATGTGACAGGACAAAATAGAAAAGGAGCTGATGTGAGGAAAACAGGAACACAAAGGAAGGATTAAAGCTGAGGCAACTGGCAACTAAATCTACACAGCAAATCCAGCATGTCCAAATTAACACTGTCAGATTTGATTTCAACACTATTAAAGTGTCTATATGGGTCCACACCAGAGAGTGTTAATTTAACTCTTTTTGGAGAGTTGGTACGTTAACTCTGATTTAGTGTTAAACACCAAATCTGTCTGGAGTTGATAATTTAACACTTGGTGTTAAGAGTTTATATATTAACTCTCAAAGAGTATTTTAGTTTAACTACGTAAGAGTTATCTTCTAATTCATTCTAAAAAGCGGGAATTTTACTGTTCTGAACTTCTAGAAATTTCTTTTGGAAATAAACATTTACTAAAAAGATGCAATGGTTTTTGAAAAACATTTATTCTGAACTGTGCACCACAATTTCAAAACATTTTCTGAAAGATGTAACAGTGTACATGTTCTCACTTTCATTAGAATTTTGTTTATCAAAAGGTCTGACATGGTAAATGCAAATAACAGCATTCTCATCACTTATTTCTTCAATACAATATGCATGTCCTTCATTCATCCCTTTGTGGAACTTCAACGCACTTCTGCTCTCCCCCATATTCCATCTTCACAAGCATATCCTGTGTGGAGATTGAATAAAAATTAGTTGACACTAATTAATGGCACAAATAATCCAGTAAACAATTGCAGCACAGTAAAAAAAAAAGGAATCCTCTTTGAGCCATTACTTGTGTAAAGTATTTTCCCAAAAGACAAGGACACAGGCAACAGGTAATACTGAACTAAATGTAAAACCTCAACCTTTTTCATTTTTACCTAAACCGTGTGCACAAAACTCTGGAGGGATCTATGCTAACGTAGAATCCAGTCAGGACGTCTGCTACTGCTGTTTGCTCGTTTTTTTTATGGGCGATCGTTTTCAGGCTTCAAGTAGCACCATTATACCAACATTTCACATTCTAGACATTGTTTTAGGTGTATTTGACCAAAAGTTTGACTGAAAATTCACATGCAAGCTTTTTTTCAAGGCTGTGGTATTTGCCCGCAAACAATACCTTTCAGCTAGCTAAAACAGAATATTATGCTATCACCGAGCAACATGGCTAATGCCTTTCACACAGCTTTGTCTCAACTCCAAAGAGCCACAGAAGTAAAAGCTCATAATAATAATTGAAACAATCTTTGAAAAAATGACTTACCAAGCATGGCAAACAACTCAAATATGTAGAGCAAAATGTTCTGAAACGGCTTCACTTCAGCTTCGATTGGAGCCGTGCTGGGGGCGGAGTCTGTGAATTTACTCTGTTGGTGTCATAGCCCCTGTAGGAGTTCAGAGTTAAGAGGTCAAGAGTTAATGTTTCCATTGTAACACCTCCAGATTTGACAGAGAAACACTCATTTTTAACACTCGATTTTAACTACTATCATTTTACACCTCAGAGTTACATTAAAAGAATGTGACTCTGCTTAGAGTAAAATTAACTCTACTTTTGCAAGGAGACTATTAACACCAAAACATTTAACACTTTTGAATTTGCTGTGTATATAAGATTTGAACAAAACATTACTACTATATAAAATAAAACAAAACCAAATCATGACATCAGTTTGGAGATCAGCTGACTGTGACAGGAAGATGGCCCCTTTGCTCAGCTTGACTTCTACCTGTCTGCGTTGTATTGTATTTTATGCTTTACAGGGAGTGCAGAATTATTAGGCAAATGAGTATTTTGTCCACATCATCCTCTCATGCATGTTGTCTTACTCCAAGCTGTATAGGCTCGAAAGCCTACTACCAATTAAGCATATTAGGTGATGTGCATCTCTGTAATGAGAAGGGGTGTGGTCTAATGACATCAACACCCTATATCAGGTGTGCATAATTATTAGGCAACGTCCTTTCCTTTGGCAAAATGGGTCAAAAGAAGGACTTGACAGGCTCAGAAAAGTCAAAAATAGTGAGATATCTTGCAGAGGGATGCAGCAGTCTCAAAATTGCAAAGCTTCTGAAGCGTGATCATCGAACAATCAAGCGTTTCATTCAAAATAGTCAACAGGGTCGCAAGAAGCGTGTGGAAAAACCAAGGCGCAAAATAACTGCCCATGAACTGAGAAAAGTCAAGCGTGCAGCTGCCAAGATGCCACTTGCCACCAGTTTGGCCATATTTCAGAGCTGCAACATCACTGGAG